TCAAGTATGGTTAGTCATTGTTATGGTGAAAAAGGAGTATATTAAACAAAAAATCAGAGCATTTCGTGTTTTTATGTTGTGGTTTCTTTGACTCAATGAAGTGTATCGAGTGGGACTAAATCAGGAATGGCACACTACTCTAAATTCTTATTTGACAGCTCGATTTGAGAGGAATGCTTTTCTTGTCTTGGGTAACCGCGTCTACCATGGGTGTGACTGTTAAAATGATGTGGACAAAGACTCTTTCGCAATAGTTCGCCTTGTGACTCTCCAAAAGCTGACTTATGTTGCCCCAGCATGTAGAAAACACATTTACAATTCTTCCGTGGAACTGTGCAGAACTAAAATTGGACAACAAAGAAAGAGTCACCACTTCAAAGGTTTCACCACATTAAATATGTAATAAGAGGACAGCAGAAATATGGCATGCTTTCTCGCGGGTGTTGACTTATACTATGAGTGAAGCAGAAATACAAAGGTAATACAAAAAGAGGGGTTTCTTTCCATTTAATAGAAATGACTAAAGACGACCGCTAAATAAATGAAACCTTTGCCTTACAGCATTTTGTGGAATGATCATCATGGTAGTTGTTGAACTGGCACAAATACACGTTTACCTTTATTTAGAAAGGTATGTTATTGTGTCGATTTAAACGAGCTGGTGAAATTGAGATCCTCAGTTTTTGTTAATGTTTAAATGTCTTTTAGTTGATCTTAATCATGTATTCAGGAGGTTTTTATAGAATGCACACATTCAGGTATTATCTCTGTCCTTTCAGGATAATGACTAGGACAAAAGCAGATGGGAATTAGTCAGGTGCAAAAACGGAGTGAGCAGAGAGCACCCAACACATTCAGCCATTAAAGAGGCTTGACTTATAAAACAAGTACATATTCATCAAAGCAGTAGGTACAGAGTACTGGACTAGAAATATCCATGTTAAGTAGGTCTGTCCCGAATACCATTTTTCAGGCTCCGGATATTCGAAAAATACGAATAACGAAATTGAAACCCGAATAGTACTCCAACGAACGAATATTCGGGTACAGCGCTAACGTTAAGTGGATGCTAGTTTGCAAAGTGGGAACCTGTCAGTCTTCTTTAAGAGTTAAAGTATTTGATGGCTATTATGACGGGATCTCTGCAGCAGCCAGTCTGCCAGTTTTCCTGAAATGAGTCAGGCTTTCTTCTAATCAATCCTCCAACAGCCAGAACAAGTGGGTTTCACAGCTTCTAATACATCTGTTTTAATTAAAGTATTTTTTGTAGTTGCTTTTAAAAGCTTTAGGATTGAACTGAAAACCTTTTTTTGTGGAAAGATATGAGTATTTTAAAAACCTTGATGCGAGTAAAATGTTTTTATACAATTAGTTACCAGCAGATGTTTTATTTTTGAAAATAAACGTGGATGGATGCTGAGCAATGTTGTTGTGATCTGTGCAGAGGAAGACTTTAACCCTGAATTCAGCCTTTCAGGCACCACACACTCCAAGGCAGCTTTACAAAAGGACATAAATAAGATGTGGCTAAACATGCAGATTTAAGATGTAATTTACACTGAGACAGTGTATGTGCTGCCCTGATCTCCTGACAAGACTTTAATGTTTGTGTTTTCTAATCAAATGATATGAGCAACAGGTCTTCAGGGTAACAATGACGCTTAAAAGTACTTTTCCTGTTGTGTGACAGACAGTCAAGTCAAATGTGACAAAGAAAATAAGCAAACCTTGACATTTAAGAGGCTGTTCAAGTTATAATTTCTCTCTGCTCAAATGTTCGGTTCTTGAAATCACATCAAACAACACAGCATATCAGAAGACCACACTGTTCAAACATCTGGCTGAACTTTCACAAGACATAAGGGAGACCAGGCAACATGTGCAACAACAGCACGCATGGACGTCTGCGGGGATCCAGCATCAGAATAATAAACAGGGCCAAGTCTGCCGGCCACTAACAGAGTTTATTGTGCATGTCTGAGCACCCCTCAGACAGACCAAGAAAACAATCTCAAGGAGACATGGAGATGTAGAAACGACATCTCTGTGCCCGTCTCCATCCCTGAATACTGGCCATCTGTTGACTCCTGCTGCACAGATCAGAGCGCCACCTCTAAAACCGCTATGGACCAGAGTTCATCACACCACAGCCTAATTGGAAATACCATAATAAGATGCAAAGGCAATACAACAGAGAGTACACAAACAGAGTGAGGAGCTGTACTCTACTACGCTGACAACTGGAGGGTAAGAAAAACACATCTAATCGAAATGCATTACAGTTAATGGCAACAGAAGCTAATGTGCAGGTCTGCTGACTATCGCCCTGTCTGATAAATGTCTCCTTTCAGCTGATGGGAGTATAGAGGAGTGGGTGGGGGGGAGAGGAGAGCCAGGAGGACTCGGTCAGCCTCAGGGCACGGACAGTTGAACAGGGAGGACAGGGCTAAGCTGAAAAGTGGCTTTGTGTCCCCTGTAGTCTCAATAAACAGTGCAGTGGGCCCAGCTCTGTTGACGGGACACAGTGTCGGATAGTCATCTGGGAGGGAGGAGGTATCATCAGGAAGCATCTGGCATCCTCCGTGTGGGTGCTGGGGAACATCCAGGTTCAAATAGACACTGCAGTACGTTTCCCACTATTACAATATGTCAACTGTTCAAAAGATTTAGCCTGAGATGCACTCTGTCCTGCTGTCTGCCCTTTGGTCATGGGTTATGTCTGTATCTGTGCTGAGGTGACGATGTATTGAAAGATGAAGTGGTCCAGAGGTCACTGCTGATAGACATGTAGCAGTGTGTCTGTGGAGAATGTCACACAAACATAAGGAATCTCTAAGTGTGCTTTTGACAGACTAACAATCCAAAGGACATTTAATTCACAAGGAAAAAAAGCAGAAGTTCCTCATATCGGAGGATCTGAAACCAAAGAATGCTGATTATCAACATTATTGGAATTCTTTTTCCGTCATTGAATGGATTCATTGCCAGATCTTGTTTTAGCAATAACTAATCAAGCTTGAGAAATAAAAAATCAAATCATCACGAGTGACTTAAAATGTGTGGTTATCCTCGGAGAGAAGTAAAAAATAGACTTATTTAAAAAGAATACAGGAACTAACATGTAAGGAACCGACTCCAAATGTACATTTTGAATCCTTCATTTATTCAATGGGATTATATTGAAGGTTGTTTTTTGCCAGTATGTTTTGATGTTCATATGGATGATTACTCGGATGACATTGCAAGTCTTTAGTCAGGATGATTGTGATATGAAATGTACATATCACCTCCTCCCCTCCCTGATGAGGGCACTGTGTTTTTGCACACAAACATCACAATAAGGAATGCTTTTGTTTACAAAAGTGCTTCAGTGCGTACTATTTGATTTACTCCAGGATCATTAAGTATTGGCTATCTTTACAGTCCAGATACTGAACAGCAGCCATCAACCACAGCACATATTTTGCCTGTTAAGCTTTCCCTGGCTCTGAAGCACTTTAGCCTGATAGAGACTGTCGATTGAGCAACAAATCTCATGATGGAGCAGGATTCTTATCCAGTATAGAGATAAGATGGGGTTTCTTAAGATGATTGATGACACAGAGTGATTACTCGGGATTAATGAGCAGAGACAACACTCTCTCTCTCTCTCTCTCTCATTGTGCGGCTCATGTCAGTCTCTACACGCGGCACCTCACAGTGGGCCAATCTGGGACATCCTGAGTGAGGTGGAGATAAAGGGCATGAAGAGACAGTGTGGTGAAGAACATTCTGTCAGTTGATTACAGGAAGTTTTACCAGTGAGGAAAAGACAGAGGGCTCCTCTGGGGATGGCTGGGCTGTGATTAACGGAGTGCAAACGGCACACATCGACACTGTGTGTTTACTCCATATGTCACAGGTGACTGATTTGATATCGATGAGAAACAAAAAGTGTAGAGTGACCCTCTTCTAAATTACCATGTTGTCACTATAAAGATCAAATCACCCAACAATATACTTTCATTCCTGGACATCTGAATTATCTTCAGTAAAGCAGCCCAGCAACTTCTCAAAATCTGGCTCGGAGACAAAGTTAATGCTGCCAACGGTAGTCGTAAGACAAGACTTTCTACTAACCAGACTAACTGCACGGCCAGCATGCCAAGACAACAATGATATGTTAGGGATGGGATCAAAAAATCTAATGATGAATGAATCATGATTCTTATCTTATCAGATGCTGAATTGATATACAACTTCCAAAAAGTATTTGGTAGACAGTAACCCTAACGCCAAGTCAAAGTTGTGTCAAGCATTATTTGATAATTTGTTCAGATCTAACCCAAAATACCAGTAACAGTGCTATGTTGTGTACAATGATTTCTTTGAAATTTTTGCATGAATAAATCTTACTTTTTGTCTTAGGTTTGCTTTTTTGCGTTAACATTATATCAATAAGTTGTACTTATTTAAAAATAACAACTCTATACTTCTACACACCAAACAGTCTTTATATGAGAACAGCTGAATGGAGTACATCTTTAAAAAAGCACTCCTTGGAGTTGAATCATGAATCGATTTCAGATACGATATATGTGATATTTACAAAGATTTGTCCATTTCCATATTCACATATCCAGTTAATATAGAACAGAAGAACAACAGAGAAAAACGCAATGTAAGGGCAGGTGTAAAGTGTAGGATATTAAAAAAGGAAATCCACACCACAGACTAGTACCCATCAGCAACAGCCCCTGGCTACTTTATATATGAATTCTTAAAACAGAGATGTCTCTGCCAAATCCCCAACCAATTTGTTCTGGCATCTCCCTGAGCCCTGGGGAGAACATGGGAAATAAACCCGCTCCAGAGTGATGTGAATGACATAACTGACCCAAACTTTTTCCTCTGACAGCTGAGCCTGTGAAATGAAATCCCTAATCCACAATGTCAATGTGCACATGTAAATAGCAGATGAGAGCACAGGATGTCTGAACATATTCTTCAACAATACTTACTCAAAAGTGAAGAAGAGTCCACAAGTCACTAGAATGAGTACAAGGGTGAGGTAGAACACCCCTGTCTGCTTGGCCATCATAAGCCTCCCATTGCAGTAAAACTTATTCCGACCTGGGAAAGACTCCCACTTCCTCCTCTTTGGGGTCCTTTTCTTGTATGGGGTCTCCATTGGCGTGGAGTTGCGAGTGCTTATTTGGCTATACTCGCACTCTCTCATGGACTCAGACACCCCGAGATGCATCAATTGCTGATTCAAATCTCCACAGCTGAATAAATCCTGGGGCAGATGTGCCTCTGTGGAGAAAATAAACCAGTTCAGTGTACATGCTAAGGTCACAAATTATCAGACAGAGGCCTGGGGTGAATGGGGGTGGATAAAGTGACAATTCCCACTTCCTGTTTTTAATCATAACTTGCCAACATCTATGGCAGTGTGTGGCTGACACCAAATCTGATTTTTAAGACCCATTTAACCTCAAGTGATGTGTAGAAGTGTTTAAAGTACTCAGATCCTTTGCTTAAGTAAAAGTAATATGGTCTTAAAATACTACATTACAAGTAAAAGTCCTGATTCAAAATGTCAAGTATAAGCACCAACATTTACTAAAAAATAACTCGTTTTGTAGAATGGAACTTATTATGGTTGTTATTTTTATCTTGTTTGTTTTTTTACATGCAAGTTAATTTCAGTGTTGTGGTTGGTCAATGTGGACCACTGTGAAGATCAGTAGTACAGTACTGCATTATACCATATCAGCATATCATGTGTTTTTTTTATGTATAAAGTAAGCAGTAACTAACTGTAAGTGTTACTCATACACTGTTACTGTTTAAGTACGACGCTTGAGAAAATGTACTCAGTTACTTTTCACCACCGATGTCAAGCTACACACAGTCGGTACAGCAAGTTTAGCTAATGTAACGTTAGCTTACTTAGCAATAACTTCACATGCCGCTCCCTCATAACTTAGCTTAAAGCGCCCTGTTAGCAGGCAACATGTTAGCATTTCATAGCAAATCAATCTAAAGTATTGCTATGCTAACACAGCTAGCAAGTTAATGAAATGACAGGTTAGTTAATGCTGGCACCAACTTTACAATTAAAAGCTAGCTTGTTGGCCAAACACTCCGCCGACATAACTAAACCCCCTCACTTGTTTAACTCGACTCTCCCACCTTAAGAGGGGCTAAAATAAAATGTTTAATGTGCTTTTCCACATGACACTACACACCGCGGCTTCACATCGTCTCTCTGCCCGCTGAAGCCTCAGCTGAACCGCTGCTCACCGAAGGAAAGTACCGCTGGTCGTCGTGCTGGGTGTTGTCACGTAGCTACTCCTTTCGTTATCCAGGTTTGTTGCGAGGCGAGCACAAGATGAAGAACGACATCTTTAGAAGTTTAAGGATAAAGAAGGAGTCAACGATTGAGAGCTTAGTTTTTGTTTTTTTTAAAAGGGAAAATCCAGAGAAAGACGGCTCGGCTGGGTGCTCTCAGACGAGCTCCAGCATCCTGAGCGAGTCTTTGCGCACAGCACGAAGCGACCTCACAGCCATATGTCCCGGTGTCTCACAGCGACACACGGCCAAAAATCTCCGGAAATATTCACCATTCAGCTGCGTTTTCGGAGGGAAAGTTAAAGCATTGCCCAAGAAGCGTGGAGGCAGGCCAGTCAGTCGTTCACATTGTGTCGCTCTCCCCACAGTGCTGCCTCCCTCGCACACAACAAACACCAACATGGAGCAGCGCCTCGCAGCCTGCTCCTCCCCCTTCAAGCGAGACTGTGCTCACTGCTGAGGAGGTGCAGGGACGACGGGCTCATAAAGGGGTTCCCAAACCCTGGTCCAGGACCTCCAGGCGTCCGTGAGGGGGTCCCTACTAGCAGGGGCGTGTCCAGGGAGAGGTCAGGGGGGACCTCAGGGTGAACTGTAGACAGAGCACCAGTGTGATGTACAGCACTTATTCAAGTTAACAGAGCTTTTTTATGCTTTTTAAAAGTGTAGGACTGCTTGTTTTGTTAGCTGACATTTCAGGCTGACATGCTTCCTCTTAAACAAGAGTTAATATATTCTTTATTTCATCACTGTCAATACATCTTGTGAAAAGACAACACAGATAGATCATTGAAATAGACAGTTGACTGGAAATGGCTAGATGCACACCGGGGAGGCCGTGGTCTCAGTGCCCCAATTCCTAGGCCACAAGGTCGCCTGCCTTAGTACACCTGTTTGAGTAACCTCGAACCTACAATGCCCAGCTGTCAGAGCTGTGAAAATAAAGAGATTATATACCCCAGTGGCAAACTAAGGTACTGTACTGCAGCCCTAAAAGGATTCTCCCATGGACAACTATTATAGCTGTAAAAATGTTGACAGCACACCTGAAACTGCAAACACGGTTTTTTAATATTCCTTGTGTTATGGTAGGTTATTTTATTAGTGCGGAACTGCTCTTGAAAAGGGTGTCCCCAAACACATAAAGTTGGGTCATGATTATAATACGAGGATTAGTCAGAGCTGTGAAAATAAATATAACATTTTTACAGTAAATAAATAATGTGTTTGCTACAATTATCTCTAACCACCCCCCAGATGAAAACAACAACATATATTTGAATGCAGTGTTATTTCAGACTGGAATATGAATATGAGATTTGGTAAAGGTTGGATGCCCCTTTATTGACCTGTGTATTGTTTCCTAGAACAGGAAGCACACCCTTCCCATGATTTAACATTATTCAGGGAGACAATAAAATGACTGTATACTTACAGAACAAATATTACCATTGACCGTAAATCCTTCAATAAATGTGGGCACGGTTATTCATATTAACCTTGTTTCTACTCAAAACAGATGGGTAATGATGTCCCCACATCTACACCTCCCTGATGATGCAATTTCCTGTTCAGCCTGCATTACTACAAGTGATTTCATCAGCAATCCACCGACGCACGCACGCACGCACACACACGTACCTCCTCATGTTAGCTCTGAAGTTACCCGAGCAGTTTGGCTCATTCCCTCCCACAGTTAACAATTAATATAAGCTCTTCCACTTTCATTACCGTGTAAAGTGAGAGAGCTTAACTGTTAAACATTTCATTGTACTTTTATTGCTGCAAATGCATTGGTTGTAAGAAAGTACGATCACATGAAGGGCTGTGTAGGCCAAAATTCAAACTCACCTCACACACACACTATTGAAATCCTCTCATATTCACTACTGAACACCTCACAAACACACAACTGAAAATTAACCGCACACACACACACACTATTGAAATACTTTCACATTCACTCGTGAACACCTCGCATACACAACTGAAAATTAAACCTCACACATGCAACTATAAATTAACCTCACGCACACACTCCTGAAAAACATTTTACTGAAAGGTTCTCAGTAGGGAATGTGCATGTATTTCACCTATGTGTGTGAGGGGGATTCTTGCTGTAACGGAAGTCATTGTAATGAAACGGAAGTACCAAACTGCTAGTGGTCTCTCTGCTAGCTCCGTTAGCCCCGTTAGCTTCATTAGCCCCAGGCTGCTACAAGGGCTCAGGCTCAGCTGATACAGAGAACACAACTTGAACTCGGACGTGTTTGTTGTGTTGATGCCTGGTGGAGTATTCTTCATTGAAATATCTTATGGCTCTGCGGTTCAAACTGACCGTCCATGAATGCAGTTTCTTCGGTAAATGAAATTCAAGCACTTACTGGCGAGACGAAGCTACATCTGTGCTAACGATGCTATTGTTAAGTATACAAGTTAAAACATAATAGAGAAGTGTAAAACATTAAGAAGGATTATACTGTAGAACAAAAGCAACCTGATCTCACCAGAATGCGTGACTCCACCACGACTCCTTAATACGGGATTAGTTTTGTATCATAAAGATAAAGCAACACTTTCTCAGAATAAAGCAAAACTATGAGTTTAAAAGAAAAAAAAACTGAGTCAAGCAAAATAAAAATAAATTCAAAAATAAAACTATAAGTTGCAAACAAATCATTTGTGTAATCATGTAAACTATAAGTCTCTTTTCTTTGTTTTAACATAGGTTTTTGTTTGCAGTTCTTGTTTCTTGTTTCTCAATGATCAGACTTTTGCTCTCGCTGCAGCTCTTCTCATTTGCGCTCCCTCATTTTTTGTTTTCGATTTTGACAAAAACATCCCAGGTGGGCGGGACTTTCAGGGGTGCGTATGTGATGACTTCCAAAGAGAAAAGCAAGAACACTCGGAATAAAGTTTTTATTTATTTTATTTTTTTTTCCGATATCATATCACATTAACATCATATCCCAACATGCATTGCGGCTAAAACATCCAATCAACGAGCTTCAAGCTGAGGATCTTGGGTTATCTGTTCAGTGGGTTTGTGGTGTGTATCGCTCAAAATGTCCCTTATAGGCCTATGTCTGTTTCCGGTGACTTTATTTACGGCTAAAAAGCATGCTAAAAAGCCCAAGATTATAGAATTAAACGAATAAATAAAAACAAGGATAATTGTGTGTTATTGTTGAGTAAATAACAGTGTGTTATTTAGAAAAGAATAACAAATTAGAAGGAAAAAAAGATTTCAGTATTTTGAGGCTCTAAGCCCCATTTATTTTCCTCACAGACGGGAAAAAAAGTCAGACATTATACGATTTTAAAATAAAAACAAATAAATAAAAAGATAAAACACTGGCATGTAATTTACGTTAGAATACATAGAATGGTTTTGAATAATAGATGAGAGTAAAATCTACGTCACTTTACAGCCCCGCCCACTTTTGGGGAAACCAACGCTGTCGTTTGAACGGCGATCAAGCCTGAAGCCACAGAGATATTCTGTTACTGTCCTTTCTTCTTAGAGGAAGTACAGAAATACGTAACTCTGCACATAAATGTAGTTGATTTTGTCTTTTTAATTGTTTAAAGTAAAGTATATACTGGTAGTTAAGAGTTTGAATAGTCTGGTTGCGGAGGAGGCACACAGGTAAGAGCACTAACTAGCTACTATCACATGTAACTAAGCTTGCCTTGAATTTATTAAAAGTATAATTAAGTAACAGCAAAAAATCAATAATTAAAATCATGCAAACATTTGAATCTATGCTGGATCCACTGTTGAATTTACCACACATTATATATTTTAGAAACCTGAACGCATTTTTAGATTTGTATGCAAGTATTATCCAAAAAACTCAATAACTTAGATTATTATTGAAAGTTTTGCTGAATAGTTTCACTTACCTTAAGCAACGTAAAACGTGCAGACCGGGAGCAACAGGAGTAGGTTAGCCTTATTTGGATCAGGCTGGAGTACATCGGTTACTCCTATATTTACTTACTGTTAACTAACTAATGCTAACATAACTATTGGCTAGAAGTACACAGCTTAGTCAACCATATTTAAGTGGCCATTGTCCTCTCAGCCTGAAATATCAATCTGTCACGGAGGTGATCTCTGGGCTCATAGATCTCGGCCTCCGTTACGGGTTGTTTAGGTTTTTGTTGTTGAAAAGTGTTCCCTTTCCCCATGTCTGTCATTGATTGTGTGCACCTGGTGCCCTGTGTTGTCTCCTCCCCCCTCATCTGTGTCCTGTTGGGTTGATTGGGTTGGGCATTTAGGCTCTGGGGTTTTGCTGTTTGGGAGGTAGTGTGTGTGGGATCCTGGCGGCTGCAGGCTGTGCCCACGTGAACAGCAGCAGCAGGATTGAGGCTGTGTGTAATGTGTTCATGCTGCAATAAATGCCCACACCGGGTTATATTTGGGACGTGCTGCCTCTGCCTCCTTGCTTGGTCTGGGCCGCTCAATTGTCAGCTTCACAATTGGTGTCAGAAGTGGGATTGACCAAGTGAGGAGGTGAGAGTGATGGAGGAACTGCGGGAGATGATGAGGTCACTCCTGCAGCTTCAGGCAGCCGGTAAGCAGCAGTTCGCACAGGAAGAGGAACGGAGACTCCGGAGGCAAGACGGCAGATTGGCTGGAGGCTCGACGGGCGCTGACTCTGCCGCTGAGGCATCAGAGATCCTGGCGGAGAACCGGAGATTGGTGCAAGAGCAGAAAGAGGAGCAGCTCCGGTTACAGAGGGAAGAAGAGAGGAAGGCAGAAGCATCGAGAACGGTTGGAAAGATGGCGGCGCACACTCAGAAGAATAACAAGCCAAGGAAACCTGGAGGAAAGGAGTCGTCGCAGCCTTTGATCATTGCCAAAACTCCGGAGTTCGTCCGGGATATGATGGGTTCCGGCGCCGGTGCGGGCAGAGGGGAGTTCCACGTTTGCCGGCGCCTCCGACGCGGGGAGTACCAAGGGCGGGACTTTCTGGACAGGATGTCGGAGAAAGTGAATGAGGACATCGAGTGTCTCGATGAAGTGGAGCTGAGCAAATGGGTGGCCGGTGATGGAGCAGCGGGGCGCGGGAGGAAGCGGAAAATACTGAGGCGCAAGATGCGGATGGCAAAGATAGCCGAGAAGGTCTGTCAGGAGAGAGAGCGCATCAGAGAGCAGAACCAGCAGGAGCGCATGGAGAGGAAGAATCAGATCCCGAAGAGAAAGAAAGGGAAGCTTCCTTCTGACTACACGCCCCCCCCCTGAGGAAACCAAGCTGCACAAGGGGAAGCAGAAACCTTGTAGGGAAGCCAAGATTTCCAAGACACTGTGCTTCCAGGGGAGAGGGGTAAGGAAATGTCACGGAGGTGATCTCTGGGCTCATAGATCTCGGCCTCCGTTACGGGTTGTTTAGGTTTTTGTTGTTGAAAATTGTTCCCTTTCCCCATGTCTGTCGTTGATTGTGTGCACCTGGTGCCCTGTGTTGTCTC